GGGGGGGGGGCTGTTGGGAATGGGACGTGAAGGTGGAATTTCATCGTGTCCTGGGCGGGAGCGGCACGGGGGAAAAATGAAAGGCCTGGGGTCAAGCCTGAAGACGGGCTCACAGGGCCACGGAAGTGGGGTGCTAATGTCTGGTCAAGCGGTACACAGGGATCCGGGCAGCAAGAGGGGCTAGCGCCCCGAGGCGCGCCCAAGCACCCAGAACCTGAGTGGGGGAGGGGAGGCGTCGGCCTGTTGGCCTCAGGACCTCCTGTCGCGCGCGGGCCACTAACCTGTGAGCAAGAAGGTGCCAGTGGTCGCAGGGCTCATCCTGCGTGTCCCCCGACCCTGTCCTGTCCAAGCACAAGGGTCTCCCAGCTCCCACCACCGGGGCAATTGCATTCTTGGCCTGGCTAGGCCGGCTGTCCTCGATTCTTCCCTCCCCTCCCTTTCTTCTTCCCTTCCAGCCTGGCCGGTTCAGCATCAGCACCCTGCACCCCCTCCCTGATCCCATACTCCCCCTAGCGGCGGGCCGCGGCAGCGTGGCCGCCTCCCCTCCCCCACTCCCCACCCCCTCACCCCTTCCGCCCCCCGGCCCGCGGGGCACGCTGGGATTTGGCGCCCCCCACCGCTCTCCAGCCTATATAAGGCACCTTGCCGGCGCTCCCGGTACACGCGCTTCAACTTCGGTTGGTGTGTGTCGAAGAAACCTGGAGAAACCTGACTGCGACCTCGAGAGAACGGCGGCGAGAGTCCACCGAGCCTCGCGGAAGGTCCGCTGAGCGGGCTCGCATCCGGAGCCACTCCGGATTGCGGAGCACCCAGCGGAGCCGCGCTTGGCTCTGGTGTGGGACGCCACCTTCCCGGCTTCGCAGAGGGGTCCTCGTGTGGTGAGTATGCGGTGAGGACGTTTTTTATTTTTACGATCACATTCATTCCCCGTTCGTATCGGGAGCTGCGGGAGATGAAGTAGCGCCCCTGGACGTCTCCACGCGAACCTGGTCCACGCCTTCATGGCGGTAACCCAAAGTAGACTGGAAAACCCAGCCTGCGGGGCTTTGGGTCGGCCGTCTCAAGTCTGAATACGGGCTGTAGACAAATATGAGCTGTGGACGGACATGAGCTACAGACAACTATGAGCTACAGACCGGTTTGCTCTTCAAATACGCTGCAGACGAATAGGCGCATCTGTGCGCTCTAACTTGATAAGCGTTTCCAATGCGCTACAAACCACTGGATGCTTAAAATGCGCTACAAACCAGTGGGTGCTACCAGTGCGCTGCTAACTTGGCGCTTGGTGCCTCCAAAGCGCTACAAGCCGCTTGGCGCCTCCAAAGCGCTACAAGCCGCTTGGCGCCTCCAATGCGCTACAAGCCGCTTGGCGCCTCCAGTGCGCTACAAGCCGCTTGGCGCCTCCAGTGCGCTAGAAACCAGTGCGCATTTGGTGTGTTGCACACTGAGGCTCCACTAGTGTGCCATAAACTATTAAAAGCTGCAGAAAGATAACTGATTAGCTACAAAAGCGCTTCACTTGCGCTGCAAACCAACATGAACTGCAGCGATGGATGAGCTGCAGACTGAAAACTGATGCGCTTTAAATGCGCTACAAAATCTTTACTGCAGATTAGCGCTGCAAAAATGTTAGCGCTTCATTGCGCTACAAACCTCGTGAACCGCAGAGGTACATGAGCTGCGGAACAATTTGCACCTAAAATGTTACAAAGGGATAAACAGCTGCAGAGGTACATAAACTGCAGACTGATATGCGTGATTAACCAGTTGAAGAGAGACTTGAGCAGCACAGTGAGATTACTCGTTTTAGGGACCCCACCCTTTGTCTCTAACAAATCTTTTGGAATGGCTCCCACTACATATTTTTGCTGGACAATTTTCTGCATGATGCTGATATACAAAATGGAGGCGGGGTGGAAAACACTGCTTAACATTCTGCCAAACCATTCCTGCTTATAGCAGTGGAATGGAGGGGTTGGGACTTGAGTGGAAACGGGAACGTGCTCGCCCGCCTCGCTGAGCTTGACTCAAGTGGCAGAATAGTTGTAGTGCTGGCTGTTAGTGTGGATTGGCGTTCAGCAACAGTTTGTGGAAACTGTTTGCTGAATATTGGGGGGTGGAATTGGACGTGGGAGTGATTGCTCTACAGAGAGAAATGAATCTGGCTATGGGAGCCTGGTGGGAGGGGTTTGCAGCGGCGGGTGGGGGGAACCCTGGGAGTGATAGCAGATACTCTGCAGCCCAGAGCAGCCAGTCTCAGACCAGCCCCGCCCACCCTAGCGTGCCTCAATGCAGCATCTGCTCAGAGCGCGCCTTCCTCGCAGCCCCCTCCCTACCCTTCCCAGAGCGCGCCTTCCCAGAGCGCGCCTCCTGCCCAGCGCCTTCTCAAAGCGCCTGCCTAAGTCCTGCCTCCTAATACTCCCCTCCCCATCTCTGGCTATTTGGAGCCTGCCTCCCCAGACCCCACCCCAAAGCCCACCTCCTTTGCCAAGACCACCCCACCTCTCCAAAGCTTGGCCCCTCCCTGGGCTTGCCTCCTATGAAATAGTGGGCTAGCCCCGCCTCTCAGTTGCCTGGCCCCTCCCTGGGCCTGCCTCCTATGAAATAGTTGGCCCCGCCCCATCTCTCAGTTGCCTGCCTCCTCTCTGGGCCCGCCTTCTATGAACTGGTCTTCAGCCCCGCCTCTCCGTTGCTTGGGCCCGCCTACTATGAGCTGGTTGGTCCAGACCCCCACTCCATTGCCTGGCCCCTCCCTGAGGCTGCTGTCTCTGAGGTGGCTCGCTTCCCTGCCTTTGCAGAACCTGATTGCGCATGCGCACATGGGAAGCCCCTGCCCCCCCCTCCCTCCTGTGCGCATGCGCATCCCCCTTGCCTGAGACTGGCTGCACAGCCCCCGCCCTCCTGCAGTTTCTCTGTTGTGCTTCTTTAGCTTTTTGTCCACTAGTGTCTAATGAGTATATGAATAATAATCATTAACAATAATAATTACCCGACACTTATAAATTTATTTTATAAGCGTTTTTCATTATCTTAAATGACATAATCCCACAATTTAAATTTATGAAGGGGCGCTACTTATAAATTTATTTTATAAGTGTTTTTCATTATCTTAAATAACAATCCCACAATTTAAATTTATGAAGGGGCGCTTCAAAGCTAACGTTGCTGACCCTCAAGGCGATCTAACTCAATGTTTTCACTGCCCCCAAGTAAAAAAAATTGTAAAATAATTTACTTTTAACATGTTTGGTTTTTTTTTTCCTGAGACACTAGTGGACATTTAGGAGTGTGAGATGTCATTAATGGAATTGGATGCTTTGGTGCATACCAAATAAGGAACAACTTGAACTGTCTTGTATAGGAGTTTTATTAAGTGTACATTGATGTTGCTGACTTTCGGCTTTGATGAGGCATTGTCTATGAAGGATTAGCCCTGGTGAAGCCCTGGCCTGCTAACTGAAAGGTCACCTGTATCTCCAAGTTAATTTGCTTTGTCTAATAAAAGAGAAAGCTAATTACTTAAATTTCAGGCAAGTGTACTATAGAATGGTACATACTATGACTTAAATTTTATGTAATGTAAAATAGTGGTTACATTACAAAATATGGTAGGTGTTTTCACTGGCATAATTAAAGCCCACCTGTATAATGAAATTAATCATTTACTACCAGTCACATGCACTTAAAAATTGTTTCTAACTGAATGGAAAACTTTAAAACTGGCTTCATAAATTACAAACCATGAACCAGCCCCTTTATAAAGGGGGAGATTGGGGGCCTTGGTTTCCCCACATCTCTAGTCACCCTAAACAGGCACACGAGGTGCTTACCATAATCACAGCTTTCAGTAAATGTCCAGCTCTCCTCATCCCCCTTGCTCTCCTGAGCTCCTCCTCTATGGAAATTATTTATTTGCACTTTAAAGTGATACAAAACAATGGCATGAGAATGCATGTGTTAATAGAATTTGCATTTCACAATAGTATACATAATACTCAAGTGTGGACAGTGTGAAAATGTAAAACAATTAATGTAAATAACAATAAAGTGTTATTTCCTAATGTGATGTTGCTTAAGTGGTAGCAGTTTTGGTCTACCATTGTGTTTTTGATGTGTTTGGGGAAGTTTGGAGAACTTTTTGTGAGGAAGCATAGATTAAATAATCATTAATGCATAAGCTAAAACTGAAATTTTTATCTTCTATAAAGATGGTGTCTATCCCAGGTCGATTGGTTTTATGCTGTGCATCCTTGGAGTTTTCATGAATGGAACCTCTTGACCCCCACCTCCCCAATCCAGCCACTGCTCCTTATTCCATATCACCTGTCCCAGTTTGATTTAAACTTTTTAAAACTTTTAATGGTTCAACTGTTCTGGGCAGTCTCTTTTGAAATGTAAGAGTCCCACCCCGAAATTACAAACTCGCAGGTGGGGGCCATGGTACCCAATATTGATAAGGGATAGTGGTTTAAAACTGGTGACCTTCTGAGCTATGAGTTTGTTTCTAACACTGTATTTAAAAATTTATTAAAAGAATTAAAGGTCTTGAGGCGGGACATGCATCTCTAAAGCACATAGGTGCTGCCCCCTCCCTATTATCTTAAACTAAAGTTCTCATTTTTAAATTATTTTTCCCATATATCAAAGGCATTTGACTTTTCAACCCTTATTGACCTTTGGTTTCCCTAAACAATATAGTGAATGTTGATTGCTCAATATATTGTTACTTCTAATCTGTCATTAATTTTTACAGATGTTAAAACCATCAGGTCTGGTCCTGATTAGAGCCAGCCCCACTCACCCCTAACTCACCCACTATCTGTTGGCTGTGATTTACATGTATGTTGACCTTCTTGACCTGGGACAGTCTGCCTCTGGTCATACTGTAAATGCCATTTAGGAAGTCTTGATTTGAATATACTGAAATGTCTTATTAAAGTGACACTTTAATTAATTGGCCTGTGCTTATTAGTTATTTTTAATGGGCCTAAAAATTTAATTAAACAAAAGTTGCATTGTTTATGAAATGGTATTGCATGTTTACCATCACGGTAGTTTTTTAGATTTGGAAATGTAACTAAATGTCACAGTAATCTGTGTGTTAGTTATGTTCTAATTTTTTCTAAGTTGGATATTCTAATTTGAATGCTAATTATTTGCTGTCTTTGTAGTCTTAAGTTATTCAACTAATTCAGCGAAAGGGGTGTTAAGAAAGAGGAGGAGGGTGCTTCTCTTTAGGGATGGTATAATGATTGCAAACGTGAAGTTTAATTACTCCCTCTCCTCCCCCACCCCCCTTTTTTAGGTTTGGTTGTGATATTGAGCCATTTTCACTTAACTTCATCTAACTTTTCTAGATAACACTTGTTTGCATTGTTTTGTTTTGTCGTTGCGTAATTTAGGAGCCCAGGATAGCCAATTGGTCCAGTGTCATACATTATGCTGTAAAACAAGTTTTAACTTTTGGGCACTCTCCTAAAGTTTTCAAACTTTAAGATGCTCATTAAAATGTCATTAGAAATTTAAAGTAATGTCTTGAAATAATAGTTCAGCTGTTCTGAACCTAGTGCAGTTGTGGTGATTATTGATTTGTTTTGATAATTCTGCAGAGGTTGGCCGGCCAAGGTTATGGCAGATGAACTTCTGTAGGTCTGATGAGTATAGGTATTGTGATTCTTAATACCCACCCTCCTTTTTGTTGTTGCCTAGTGGTTGGAATGTTAGCAGTTATTCACCTGAGTTCTCTAAATAACAGTTTATTGGTATTTGTGGGAGGGGTCATCCTTGAAAGTTTTTCATTTCTCTTCAGTGCAAAAGTTTGGGGTGTGCCTCAGCACTCTTAGGGGAAAGCAAGAGAGTGTGGTATCAATGCAGTTAGGTTTGTTGAGCCGTATGAACATGTGACTTTTAAGGACAGAGTGGAGTTTGGATATTCAAACTTTTTATTATTTGTTCTAGTTAATTTCCTATTTTTCTGGCTGGTTAAAAATAATTAACAAGCAATTAGTAGAGAAAGATATTTTAAAAAGCTAATCTTTGTATTTTACTGCTTTGCAGGGGCATTTTAAGTGTATATTTTATCTTCATTTACAGGAATAAGCGGCTTTTGAAAACAAAAAGAAGAAAGGGTGGAAGAAGTGGCCAGGATCCAGGCCCCCAACCCCCCAGCAGTGAAGCTACACCTGGGAGGTCTCCTCCCACCCCAACCCTCAACCTGGGGCCCGACTGCCCACCTCCTCCTCCTCCTCCTCCTCCCAACCACCCCTCCTCCTCCTGCTGCAAACACAAGGACAAGTGCAAGGCCAGCGGGTCAGTGCGGAAGAGGGAAGAGCTCACCGAGGAAATCAACAATTTGAGAGAAAAAGTCATGAAGCAATCCGAGGAGAACAACAACCTGCAGGACCAGGTCCAGAAGCTCACCGAGGAGAACAGCTCCCTGCGCGAGCAGGTGGAGCCCGAGCCTGAGGCGGCCGGGGCGATGGCTGGCGCGGCGGCTGCTGCGCCGACCCCTGCGCAGACCCCTGCGCTGACCGCTGTGCCTGCTCCTGCACGTGCTCCTGCGGTGGAAGAGGAGGAAGACATCGAGATGTGCGGGGCTGCGGCGGCTGCCGCCCCCCCACCTCCTCCCCCCGAGGAAGAGTGCCCCGATGACCTACCCGAGAAATTTGACGGCAACCCTGACATGTTGGCTCCTTTCATGGCCCAGTGCCAGATCTTCATGGAGAGAAGCACCAGAGATTTCTCCCTGGACCGCGTCCGCGTCTGCTTCGTGACCAGCATGATGACCGGCCGGGCGGCGCGCTGGGCCTCCGCCAAGCTGGAGCAGGCCAACTACCTGATGCACAACTACCCCGCCTTCATGATCGAGATGAAGCACGTCTTTGAAGACCCGCAGAGGCGAGAGGCCGCCAAGCGCAAGATCCGACGCCTGCGCCAGGGGATGGGGTCCGTCATCGACTATTCCAACGCTTTCCAGATGATTGCGCAGGACCTGGATTGGAACGAGCCAGCGCTGATTGACCAGTACCACGAGGGCCTCAGCGACCACATTCAAGAGGAGCTCGCCCACGTGGAGGTTGCCAAGTCCCTGTCAGGACTGATCAGCCAGTGCATTCACATCGAGAGAAGGCTGGTCAGGGCGGCCGCCGCCGCTGCCCGCAAGCCACGCTCCCCGCCGCGAGCGCTGACGGTGCACCACCATTCCGGCCACCACCAGGTGGATCCCACCGAGCCTGTAGGGGGCGCCCGCATGCGCCTGACCCAGGAAGAGAAAGAGCGGCGCCGAAAGCTGAACCTCTGCCTCTACTGTGGCACCGCCGGTCACTACGCCGACAGTTGTCCTGCCAAGGCCTCCAAGGCCTCGCCGGCGGGAAACTCCCAGGCCCCGCTGTAGAGGGACCGTCAGCGGCCGGGCCAGAAAGAATGAGGTCCCCAAGAGATGAAATTTCAACCCCACACTTGCAAGTGATGCTCCAGATCCATCTTCCGGGCCGACACACCCTGTTCGTCCGAGCCATGATCGATTCTGGTGCTTCTGGCAACTTCATTGATCACGAGTACGTTGCTCAAAATGGAATTCCTCTGAGAGTCAAGGATTGGCCAATCCTTGTAGAAGCGATTGATGGACGCCCCATAGCCTCGGGTCCCGTAGTCCATGAAACCCACGACCTGATCGTTGACCTGGGAGATCACCGGGAGGTGCTGTCATTTGATGTGACGCAGTCGCCATTCTTCCCTGTCGTCCTGGGAGTTCGCTGGCTGAGTACACACGACCCTCACATTACGTGGAGCACCCACTCGATCGTCTTTGGTTCTGAATATTGCCGATACCACTGCCGGATGTATGCCCCACTCCCACCGTCGCCCCCACCGGTACCACACCACTCAATTTACTACCCGGTGGAGGGATACAGAGTTTACCCAGCAGTGAGATATTATTTTGTCCAGAATGTATACACTCCAGTTGATGAGAATGTTTACCCAGACAACCACGTGGCCGACGGCAGTGTCGACATGATACCTGGAGCACACAGCATTCCAAGTGGGCATATTTACTCACTGTCTGAACCTGAGATGGCTGCTCTTCGAGATTTTGTGGCAAGAAATGTGAAAGATGGGCTGATTACTCCAACCATCGCACCAAATGGAGCCCAAGTTCTCCAAGTGAAGAGAGGATGGAAGCTGCAAGTTTCTTATGACTGCCGAGCTCCTAACAATTTCACTATCCAGAACCAGTATCCTCGACTGTCTGTCCCAAATTTAGATGACCAAGCTCACCTGGCATCATATGTTGAATGTGTCCCACAGGTACCCGCATACCACCCATACCACGCCTATGCGGCCTACCCGACCTACCCAGTAGGGTTCGCTTGGTATCCAGTGGGAAGAGATGGGCATGGGCGATCACTCTATGTCCCTGTTATGATCACTTGGAATCCGCATTGGTATCGCCAGCCTCCGGTACCTCAGTATCCGCCGCCTCCGCCGCCCCCCCCTCCGCCGCCACCGCCTCCGCCACCATCTTACAATGCTATGTAAATAAATAAATACTTGTCATGTCCTTCAGGAGCTCCTCCCTCAAAATTGACTCCTGTTCAGCTTCTCAAATCACTAATTGTGTGCAAACATGGACTACTGTACCTTTAGGCCAGACGTAAGCAACACCCACTCTGAAATGGCTGCTGCAAAAGGTCCAGTCCACTGAGGCTAGCACACACCCTAAAGCACCAAAAGACCTTCACCGGTTTCTGCGAGTGACAGAACATTTACCAACAACTCTCAGTTTTCCACCTTGACTGCCAAGCTCACTAAAATACTTCCGAAAAGTTTACTTTCCAGGGAATCCTGGAAGCCAGCCTGGGATTTTACTTGCTAAAACCTCATTGTCACCATCTGAATTGCAGGCAACCAGATTCCCTGCTGATTATTTACAGAGAAGCTGATGCAAACATAGGAGATGCTGTTTTCTTTATGGAGGGGGAGGAAAAGAGGAGGAGGGACATGACTTTTCTTGCAGGTTGGGGCCTCTCCATACACTTAAGGAGGACCAACGCCTTATTGAGGAAGCCACAATTATTGGTGCAGTATGAAACGGCTTCTGTGATCTTCTTGCTGCACCCTTACTTAGAAACTTCACCATCTTCAAACTCCGCTTTCATGGTTCCGTTAATTCTCAAGGAGCAGCAATTGGACCAGTTCTCCCAGGAGCAGGCAAAACCCTGCAACAGTACGTAACACCTCAGGCCTGAGAAGGAAGTGCCCTCTCAGACGGGACTCTTGCATGATAAGAGTATGCCTTTACACCCTGGTGCAAATCCCAAGTACCCGAGTACTGTGGCTTCATCACCACGCCTTGCCATCATCATGCCAGTCATGGCACCCACAAGACATTAGACTTGGTAGCTTCAGATGTGTTAGATGTGTGTGAAATATTGTGACCACCTTTCCATCATTGTTAATTGGCTGACAAAGCTACCACCTGAAGGTCTTGGAAGCATCTACCCACATCTCAGCCCTCAAATACACCTGGTCATCAGCCCCTCACTCGGCTGCAGCACCTAAACCCACACGCCTATGCCTGAGAAAGATCTCTGAAGAAGAGGAAATTTGGGCCACTGGACAATGAAGGCTATGGACTTCTTGGTGAATTTCAAATCCAGCTGGATGACCACTATCAAGGAATCAGTTTATGTAATGAGGCCCCCACAAGGGGGTGGGGCCAACATTGAGCTGCCAGTGGATGAAAGGCCTCTGAAAACAAAGCAACCAACAACACAATGTTGTCTTCAAAGCCAGAGATACCCTCTGGTGTCTTCTGGATGCTTTGTGCTAACCTGGGACTGCCTGACTTCCTTTAGCCTGGTCTCTTGCTCCTACCTGGAATTGTGTGTCTAACCTCTCTTTATGTTTACTCCTTTACTGCTGCCCTGGACCCTGCTGCAGGATTTGTGTCAACTTTCCTGCCTTGCTACCTGAGACTCCATTTTGCGACCACGCACGGAGAAGAAAGAAGCAGGCTTCAAGGAGCAAGCGTTTCAACACACACACACACACACACACACACACACACAATCTCCAATTGCCAAAACACAATTTACGCAGTAGAAAACCACCTGGTGTATATTTCAAATTCCTAACATGAAAAGGAGTCTAATGGTGAAGTTTCCTTTTCCATCAACATCATCTTTCACGTTTTCCTTATTACCCACCCTTATTCTGCATGTTGAAATACTTAAAATCTTTATCTGTAGGTCAGTAGAATCCTTTCACAGTGTTTTAAAATTGTGATTGTGCTTTTAAATGTTTATTTTAGTTCAAGTACTTTTGAGTTTTAGTGACAATGATGAGTAACGTAGTATAGGATATTTCTTTACTGTGAAGTTCTTACAACACTGTGAAGGAGAGGCTCCGAGCACTCTGGAGTATTTACATATTCATCCTGTTCATCTTCAGTCTTAAATTTCAACAGTGAATGATTTCAGTTTTATTGATTGGACTTCCCAAAATCAGACAAAAGAACACATCCATTTCAAAGAAGATACTCAAAATTGGCTAATTATCTGGTCCAAAACTGTCTTTTTTCTTTCTTTCTTTCTTTGTTTTTATTTTTGAACACTTGTCAGTTACTCGTGTGTTTAGTTGTATTTACTTTGACTATGGTGCATTTGTGCTTCTGGACTATTTTGAAGCGACACTTCAGTTTACCTCAGATACCAATCCATCCTCCATACGTTTGAAATCAAGTTGTTTTATGTGACATTTTTAGTTGTTGATTGATCTTCAAGCTGCAGAGAGCCCAGAAATGGGCCTTTGGCTGCAGCCCTGGCATATGCACATGGACATTTGCCACCAATGCAAGCAAAATTCTGGAGATGTTGCCATCGACAGAAGCGGTCAGGGAGAGTGTGCTGGTGCGGGTGCACCACTCTTGGAAAAAGTCCCTGGCACAAGTTTGCTGTTCACTAAAGCTTGTGACATCTTGGCAGTGTGTACTATGTGCTATTGCGATCTATACTATCTATAAATGTAGCTGTTAAGGATAAGTAAGGTAAAATTCATTGTGATTTAGCATTTGAATTTGCATAAGTTTCCTTTCACTCAATTGATTTGTTGATTAGATTAAGTTACACAATTTTAAGTTAATTCCATCCTTTAAAATTATTTTGGGAGGCATTGCCCAACAAAATGCCTTTATTCATAAGAAAGGAAAACAAAGTTAACATTTTTAATTTATCTAAAGAAGTTAGAAAAGGAGCAAAATAAAAGCATTAAAGAGATAAAACATCAAGATTGTTTAGCAAAGCCAGGATTGGAGTCTTTGAAACAAACTGGCAGAACTGATTGGCTATTGGTCTAAATTTTCAGTATTTCTTAAGGAAATCAAGAATGAGGTCAAAGAAAGCTCCCACAGTTAGGTGAGCCTTAAAAGAGCTAGCTAAGATCATCATGCTAGCATATTGAAAGAGAAAGTGCTTTACATACGTTTATAAAGGGTGAATTTAGTTTGAGCAATGAGGTATTTGTATCAGACGCTGGGAATTGAGTTGTTTGATTACATCACGTGTGAGGTTCACAAATACGAGGGACACACCTATGTTGGTGCGGTCTGGATTTCTGTTTAAGTTTGCAGGTACCTCCGCTCCTGAATTGATCCAGTTGTCATCCACCACAGACATCTGACATCAGAAACCGTTCCAAGATTGACGACAAAGAACACCTTGCTGGAAAGACCTGGGCAGAAGTGAAGAGTCCTGAAACGGAACTGTGCAACATTTTCATCTGGAGAGAGGACACATCTGGGAGGGACAGAAAGTTCTTTGTTGTTTGAAATTGTAGAATGTGATAAAATTGGTCTGTGGAAATTTGCATCATTATTATTTCTTTGTTTAATCAGTTAAATTTAAATACTAGGGGATATTATATAATCATAAGTACTTTAATGGTGGGAGGGACTATTAAGTAATCTTAAGGGGGGGTTAATAAGAAAGTTAGAATAATATCATGTATTAGCTATCTCTATAAGTCAACCTGTGTATCCCGGGCTCTTTACCCTGTAATTGCTACCTGTAGTGATTTCAAGTGAAGGCAGAAGGAATGGCAGGAAGAAGGTAACCGACTGAGGACTAATTGGACACGGGAAAAAGCTTAGTGTAAGAAAGTCAAAAGATGATTGGATAAAGAAATTAGTAAATTTGCCCTGGCTATTAAATTTCCAGGGTTTGAGATTGTGAGCAAACATTTTAGAAAGTCACAGCCTGGGTTGATGCCCTTTGAAAAATTATTACTGGAATGGCATTGATAATTGATGTAAGGTTCATGGAAGTTGAAATTGATGAATAAGAATCCTGTATTTGAAAGAAAAAAAAAATCCTGTATTTGCCCCTATAAGTACTCCTCCCCCTTACCCCCACCTCTTCTCCCTTTATCTTCTTAGCCCTTTACCTCCTCCCTACCCCCAAATATCACCTCCCTACTCCCATTCCCTCCCTACTCCCATTCCCTCCCTAACCCAGTCACCTCACTACTCCCCACCCCCTCCCTATCCCCAGCCACTCCCTCCATCATCTCCACCCTACCCCCATCTCCTCCACTCCCAACACCCTCTCATCACCTCTACTCCCCAGTCCTTCCCTACATCCATTTCCTCCCTAACCCCCACCCCCTCCCGAGTCCCCACCCCCTCCCTAAGCCCTGTCACCTCCCTACCCCATCCTCCCTGCCCTCCATCATCTCTATCCCCACCCTTTCCTACCCCTATATTACCTTTTTCCCCACACCCCTTCCAATTATACTCCTTTAATAGCTGTATCCCCTACCCAATATTTCTCTCTACTTACTAATTCTTTATGTAATGATTAAAATTCAACCAATAAAAACTTAGTAGTTAAGTGCAAACCGTGTCTTGATTATTTACTCGTCTGTGAGTATTAAGGAACATGGGTGGAAGAGTGGGTATGATGGAAGATTCGGGGGAGGGAGATAAAGGGTAGGAGATGGGGCATGGAAAGGACAGAGCTAGAAGGTGGGTGGAGGAATGAAGTGGGTGGGAGCTGGGAGGATAGAGGGTAAAGAAGATGGGAGCTGAGGATGAAGGGTGGGGTGGGGGTATAGAATGGATTTAAAAGACACATCAGTGTGTATGGATTGGGATAACAGTTGTATGAGCCCCTAATAAAATGTTGCCACTCACTATTAATTATGTACTCAGAAACAAGCTACTCAAAAAGTGGACCGTTTCCATTGTATACTTGATATACTCCAGAAAATCAATTACATACCTGCAAAACCTGGACATAAAAAGCTACACAATAGTGACTACGCTGACATAAGGGAAAAACAAACATTGTGAAAAAAATACAGAAAAGAGCTGTTGTGAAAAATCAAATGAAATGTGTTTTATTCTTAATTAAAACATATCCCCATGGCTGACATTCATGTGGAAGAGAAAGTGGCACGTGTCCATGACACACCTTAACCAAATTTTAAAACAAAATGAGATATAGCAATACAGAGCTGTAGAATAAAATGGAGACCCTAACAATGAAGGGGCCTCTTTAATAGTAAGTCATTATAAAAGGTTTCATTGGGTGGGGTCTACATAAACATGGTGACAGATTGCCAAGGTTACATAGAAAAAGGTTAACAGTGGAAGGGAAGCGCACAATGAGATTGCATATGATAGCCCTTTACCTCCCATATCACCTCCCTGACCCATATTACCTCACTACCCCCATATCACCTCCCTACCCCAGATCACCTCTCTACCCCCATATCACCTCCTTATCCCCATATCACTTTCCTAACTCCACATCAGCTCCCTATCGCACATCACTTCTCTACCCCCATATCACCTATCTATCCCATATCACCACCCTACCCCCAAATCGGTTACCGACCCCTATATCACCTCCCTATTTCCATCTTACCTCTATACCCATATACCCCCATGTCACTTCCTTACCCCATATCACCTCCATACCATACAACCAGACCCCAGGATACCCTGAAGAGTTGTTCATCATGGTCTTCAGGCTGGTAGGTGAGGCTGAAGAAATTAGAAGGGGGCTCTTGCTAAGAACCCATTTAGCTATCATATACCTGTGTGTGTGTGTGTGTGTGTGTGGAGGTGTATGTAATTTAAACAACATGGTGTGGAAACTTAACCAAATGACTTTGAAAGAAAAACAAAATGAGGTGTCATCCCTCTTATTACACCTAAGCTCCTCCCCATCCTGACCCCTACTCTTTTCAAGGTCCACATGAGTTAATAAACTGTAAGGGAAGGAGAAGGTCCTGAACCTCAAGATTGTATTAAGTTTCACCGATCCATCACAAGGCTAGTTCAGAATCATTATACCGCAATGGTAATGTTTGTTTTAATACTTATTTTTTTTGCTGGAGGATGTGGTGGGGTTGGCCTCCCAGAGAGATAAGCAGCCAGGTCTCCTTTTT